TAAGTCCCATGATCCTCTAAGTATGATATATGTAAAGGTCTGGGCTCTTTGCCGCTGCTGCTTTTCAGACGGAGGCGCAAAGTGCCGAGCTCGAGAAGAAGCTGCGGGCGGCAACGGAAGAGGCCGTTGCTGCTGTTTGTTTTGGCGTCTGAGGTTGAAACAGGAGCCTGTGCAACTATAGTTTCGCTACTTCATTATGTGCGTGTCTGTATGTTATAGTATTATATACCTGTAGAACCTATGACAAAATAGACAATACACATAATTTGTACATGTATATGTGTGTATTCAATATACACACATAAATAAAGAAATATATATATATATATATATGGACACACACACACATCATATGTATACATATACATATACATATGTACATATACATATACATATACATATACATATACATATACATAAATATATATATATATATATTACTATTATATCATATAATAGTGCATTGCAATATATTATATTGTATCATATTATATTAACTCTATATATATATATATATCTTATACATACATATATATATATATATAGACACACACAGACACATCTCTCTCTCTCTACCTATCTATCCCCTCTTGACTCTCAAGCCCTTAGGGCAGAGTTTCCCTGTAGTTTCAAAACTACTATGTACTTTCAGGGTTTAGGGTTAACTTAGCGATACGTAGGGTTTAGCAAACTGGTTCAGGGAATATATATATATATAACATAATAGAACATATTATTAAATAATACAACATAATATAGTATAATATAACATAATATGATATATTGTATTATATAGTGTAATATTATATATATACACATTATATATATATACAGTATAGTATAGTATCGCATCGTATAGTATAGTCTAGTCTAGTATAGTATAATATAGTCTAGTAGAGTACAGTATAGTATAGTACAGTACAGTATAATATCGTATAGTACAGTATAAGAAAATATAGTATAGTATAGTTATAGTATAGCACAGAACATATATTATAGTATAGTATGGTACAGTATAGTGTAGTATTAGTCTAGTCTAGTCTAGTATAGTCTAGTAACTCTAGTATAGTATGGTATCCCCAGAGAACCTTAAAGAACCGCTGTAGATCCCCGTCGTATTCCGCATCGACTGCCGTAATAAAGCTGCTTATATGGAACCCGCTCAGGTTCCCAAGACCATAAATCATACCAGGACCCCCTGGTTTAGGGTTTAGGGTAGACCATGAATCCTACCAGGACCCTCCAAGGTACCCTTGCAAGAGCCCAGGTGGCCCTGCTTTGTGTGGAGTTCGGGCAGCTGTGGAAACCAGGTACATCCCTGAACCCTCGCTCTAAACCCAAGACCCAACCCCCACTACTAGCCAACTTCCCCAGGATTACCTTTGTAAACCTTACCTGTAACACTTTGGACACTTACGGGCCCTTAAACCGCAAACTTCTAAGCAGCAAACCCCTTTAGACACGGGCAAGGAGCCCTTGAGGGAGCCCATACGAGAAGTAAGATCCCTAGACCCTAGACCCTAAGCCTAAACTTAATCTCTAAACCCTGAACCTAAACCCTGAACCTTAACCCTTAAAAGCCCTGAGAACCCTAAAGCGGGGCCTGTCGTCCCGCCCGGCGGCAGCGCGCTCCGGTCGGATGCACCCAGCGGCTGTCTTCGAGCCCGCGGAAAGGAGGCAGCGTTGCAGGGCTTCGGGCTTTAGGGTTTTGGGTTTAGGGAAGTTTAGGGCTTAGGGCTTATAGGGCTTAGGTTCAGGGTTTGAAGGTATTTAGTTTGGGGTTTATGGTTTAGGGATTAGGAGTTTAGGGGGTTTTGGGTTTAGGGTGTGAGGGCTTTTCGGTTGAGGGTTATAGGCCTTCATGGTGTTGGGGTTTTCGGCTGTGGGTGGTGCAAGGGTGTTCAGGGTTTGGAGCGTGGACCGATGATGATCAAGGGACTACTTGCAGCCCCCAAAGCCCCAGGAAATAGGAGGTTCTGACCTCTTGATTAGACCACTTGACTCTCGACCGGAGCTCTCTGGAGGATTTAGAGCCTACCCTAATCCTAAACCCTAAACCCTAAACCCTAAACCCTAAACCCTAAACCCTAAACCCTAAACCCTAAACCTTCCTCTTTTTTTCAACGGGAGGGGGGGGGGGGGGG